TTCACGCATCCGATTAATCTCTCGAAATGGCCTCCGCTTTGCGAGCTGAGCGGTGTGTTGAACGTCCATGTGATGAAGTTTTCAGCTAGGAGCTTCTTGATTGATCCGTCTCGGATATGTTCGTGTACTGCTCTTATTTCTTTCAAAGCCCGTTGAAGAGAGTCCATTATCGCTGTTGATTGTTTCTACGAAGGGGTAGCGATTGATGAATTTCTGCAACGCACCTAAAACTTCGACTGTTGTCAAGTCCGTTGTCAGTTGGAGGTGGACAGCTCGGCTCGCACAGCGATCGAACAGCAGTATGTAGGCCTTCCGGAATCCTTCTTGTAGCGATAGGGTCCCCATAAATCGCAGCCTGCATGCTGGAACGAGTTCGCTTGTTCTATCCGAAACTGGAGTTGGGCCATAGGCAGAGATGCCGCTTCTGCTCGGAAGATCTCGCAAGTGGTACATTCCGAAATGACTTGACCGGTTAGCTTCCTTCCGGAATTCAACGATTTTCGGCAACGGTCGTCGTTGTCGATGTCACTCATAATCATTTTCGTGGGTCACAGGGAGGGGATACTCCGATGTGAGATTTAGGGTACCCGTTGAGGTCCGATCGGGTCGGCGCCAGGCTCACCGCCGCGGTTGATTTAAGGCTGGAAAGCCGACTTTTCAACTTGTTCACAGGAGCTGCAGTGGGACTTCAGACTGAGTACTGACACAGGGTGTCCGGCACTCGGGGTGTGCTAGGATTGCAAGTTCTAGGCACGTTGATGGTTTGAAGGCCCGGCCGATGCACGAGGGCACCGTAGGCCTGACTGAGTCCTGGATTCCTGCAGGAATATCATGGGGAAGATCGCTAAGGGTCGCGATTTCGAACTTCGGCCGAATATGTTGTTCGGGCTGGGAACTTGTAGTACTTCTGACACCAGATGTCAACGAACGTAGAAACAGAGCGAAAGTAGCTAGTTTTCGCTTAAACGTAGCCCGAGCCTACGCTTGTAAGTCATCGAGACGTGTCTCGAGCGCTGGCTATCAACAACCGGATCTCTCTCGCGAGGTGGAGTGCTCCGGCTGTCTTCGAAGAGATCAACGGTAGAGCCCGAGATCAGTACGTCTGGGTAGACTGCGCGGCGCAATCCCTCAGGCTAGCGATTGATTGAGTGTCCTTCTCTATCCCACCAGTCAGCGAGTTCTTGTTCCTCGTTCGTCAAATCCGATTCACAATACTTCAAGATTGATGTTCATCATTAATCCGGTGGAAAACGAAGGTTTCAACACCTCGCGATTCCTGAGGATTCAATTGTCCAGAGCATAATGGCACGACATTTCAAACTCAGCTTCCATCTATCCAAATCGTGGGAAGATGCTGACCTCCTCGAACGGTTGCTTCATGGTTGGCGACTCCGACATTCCAAAGTCATACAGAAACTATTGATAATCAAGATTGAGGATCAAGATGATTATTTCGTGTGCGAAAGCGATCCATGTGTTGACGGGCACTATATTCATCGATTCGATGTGATCACAGCATACTTCAGCCTCAACTTCGCAATGAGCCTGGACTACTGGCTCTTCGCGTTTCTTCGGGACCAATTCGGCCATTCGCTCCCTCTGATCGAAGAGCCTACCTAGAATAATGTGATGATCCCGGACTCTAGAGCAATATTTCATGATGGAGTTATTCCAGCATACTTACAGGGTTTTTCTCTACGATTCCACGATTTCATGGGTCGAAAATATCCCATTGCTCTGAGAGTTATACCCCCCGGTATCGTACCTTCAGGTAGTCGAGAAGGCTCTCTCGAATCGCAGATCAACACTCACTATACAATCCCTTTGCGATTTTGAGATATTTAGGCTCAATCGTGATAGCAAGGGCTACCTGATTTCCATTTGGAGCACCGGGCTCTCGAAACTTGGCTATACGTGAGGATTCGGTTTCACTGGTCGTTCAAATTTCTTGTTGAGACTGTCTTGACAGACGATCGCCGCGTTGCCGCGTTTCTGATGTGAACACAGTATAAATCTTTGCGCGCGCGAAATTTTCCGATGTGTTGTGAGTCATTGACTACCATTTAATGATTATATTCCAATCACAATTTAGAAATCTTTCTTGGTCTGCTTGTTTTTCAGTACTTATCCTGATACATTGATTACTCAACAACAATTCTTGATAGTTCATCCTTGTGTCATCATATCATTCTAGAACGCCGGGATAGACGATATTCTTAGCTTTGCCATCTGGGGTATGGACGAATAGATTCGATGGCTTACCGACTCTTGAGCAAGCTACGTAGAGTTGACCATGTGAAAAACATGGGATCATTAATTCCAACCTGCGAACACCTAATGTTTGCCCTCGAGCTTTGTTTATCGTCATCGCGAAGGCTAATCGCACCGGGAATCGCAGTCGCTTGAACTCGAGCGGAAGTTCAGTCGGTATCATCGGTATTCGAGGCAAGAGAACGATTTTTCCCTCAAATTTTCCGTTCATAATGACTGCTTCAATAACGTTGTTCGATAGAGCTTGTTGAGTTCTGATCGACGAGCGGGACTTTAGAATTGAGCTTTGGAGAAAGTTGAAGACACGACGTATACCGCTGGTAGAGAAACCCACAACTTGTTTGTTTTTATTCTGTAGCGTCTGCAATTCAAACACAGCGCGGCATTATCCGAATTTCTGAGGTTGACTAGAATTATTGTAATCTGATGATCTATTTCACAGCAGTCCCTCCTGATCATTAGTATTAGTGAACGCCTATTTTTAAACGGAGCATTCCAAAACGTGTCCTGTCAATAGCTTTAGTGAGAATGTCAGCAGGCTGTTTCATGCCTTCGATATGTTCGACCGACAAAACATTTTGTAGGTACTTTCCGCGCACGAACATGAACCGAACGTGTATGTGCTTTGAGCGCGGGTGGAACTCAGGATTCTTAACTAGTTTAACCGCGCTAGCGTTGTCCACGAAGAGTGTAGGCTTTTGATCCTCTCTCAACAATTCGAGTATCATTTGCTTCAGCCATTTGAGTTCCTTGGCTCCCTCGCTCGCGGCCATGAGTTCCGCCTCTGTCGTCGATAACGCAACCGTACTCTGTAATTGGCTTCTCCACGATATCGCACCACCTGCGAACATCGCCACGACTCCCGTGGTGGAGCGCCGCGTTTTCTTGCATCCAGCGAAGTCGGCGTCGCTGTAGACTTGAAGACCTTCTTGGGATCCGTAATCGATTCCCATACCAGCTGTTGCCCGCAAGTATTTGAAGATTCGCAATACGTTGTTCCAATCAGCTTTCGTCGGCGTCTCCATCACTCTCGCAACTCTACCGACGGCATATGCTATATCCGGTCGGGACGCAGTTGACAGATAGAGAAGCGAACCCACAGCGGCTCGATACGGCACTCTATCCTCTAGTCGGTCTTCCGAGGCACTTTCCTCCTTCCCGGCAGGCGTGCTGACTGGATTGCTGTCTTGCATCTGGAACCTCGCTAAGATCTTCTCGATGTATCTTGGCTGGCATATGGTGATCGTGCTTGGTGATTTTCGCTCGATTTGAATACCAAGATAACTGCTTAAGTTTCCCACCGTTATCTTGAACTCCTTTCGGAGCACATCCAGGAATTCTTCACACTTCCCCTCATCGGTGCTCGTGACGAGACCATCGTCCACGTATACCGTGACGAAAATGCTACCGGAATCGTCATGTCTGTAAAACAAACATGGATCTGCATTGCTCTTCCTGAATCCCATCTTCACCATGAATTGGACGAATCGATTGTACCCACACCTCGAAGCCTGTCGAAGGCCGTACAATCCTCGCTTGAGCCGACAAACCCTGTCGGTTCCATCCTTGAAACCGTCGGGTTGATGCATGAACACCTCTTCCGATAACGATTCGTACAAATACGCGGTCCGTATATCGAATTGTCTAAGGCTCATCTGCCTCGACGCAGCAATCGATAAGAGGAGGCGAACGGTACCATATCTTGCCACTGGTGAAAAGGTTTCGATGGTACAAGCTGACGGTAGCGCGAGGGAATCATGCTCCCGAAAGTCGAATGCCTGACCAGAGAGAACAATGGAGTCAACCTACTGGTTGCACCGCCGCGCCGGCATGTTCTGTGGGCCGTTAAGGTCGCGAGTAAACGTGAGCACGTAAGCACAGGCGCGCACTGCTCTCACGAGTCAAGCAGCTGTTCCCTCGCGAATCGATCAGCTGTAGGAGCTGAATGGGTGTCCAGAAAAACGAGCTAAAATCGTTTGAGCTCCGAGGCTTATGTTGCGCTAGAGTTTCCTTCACTCGAAATCGCAGAGATGAATGTCTCGGAAATCCAATCGGCGAAAGGCAAGCCAATATTCATTGTGAACGATTAGTTGTTTGAAGTCGATAGAAAGGCCGATGGCAAGTTCTACTGCCGATGTGTCCAACAGCGTTTAGTGGGTTCAACAGCGTCCGCAGTATACTCCCACGGGAGCAGGCTGAAGTCAGGCCGCTCTTACCTCAATCTCGTGAGGAGATTAATCTAGATGATCAGTGGACGAAGACATCAACAGGAGCAAACTTCTTGCTTTTCGATGACGGGGGCATCAACCGAATTCTAGGGTTCAGCACGAATGACCTCATTTTCTCGCTATGCGAAGCATCGACTGTATTTGAATCGTTTATTTCGAAACATCGTAACTCCACTCTGGAAAAACACCCAAGAACAATCCCCCCCTGTAGTGTCTCCCACAGGATACCGACCCTGGCTCGTGGGGCCATTTTCGAAAGCTCTTGGTGAGAGCTTTCAGAAAAAAATATTACACCGCCCTCCCTCTCACTCTGTGGCTGCACACGGAGAAATGAGTCTTTGGATTTACGATGTTTAGAAAATAAACGTTTTTCCCAAATTCAAGAATCTTTATCTCGCCGTAAAAACGTCCAGAATCATCGTAGGAGGCTGTTTTTTCTTCCAAAATGTAGCCCAGGTCCTCAGCTTTCCAACGAGGTTTTTATGGACGGCATAACCATTTATGGACGGCACATTCAGAGTTGTACCGACCATATTCAGCCAACTCTACATTATACATGGCTTCTTCCGAGGTGAAAAGGTCCCTTTCGCGTATTTTCTCCTTCCAAACAAATCCAAAGAAACCTACATGAGGATGTTCGAGCCATTGAAGAATTACGCGATCTCCATTGGACGGAATTTCGAACCTCCGACATTTCACTTGGACTACGAGATTTCCACGCTCAGAGCGATTCGAGAGTCTTTTCCGAATTCAGAGGTGAAGGGTTATTTGTTCCATTTCAACCAGTGCTTATGGCGCGAAGTTCAGGGATCGGGACTCGTCACCTTCTACAGAGAGTGTGGAGTGAAGCGGATCATACGTTCGACAGCTGCGTTAGCCTTGGTGCCCCTGAATCGCATCGAGGACGCTTGGTTGGATACAAATGCCGACTCTTCCTCATCCGAGCACCCCGCGCACGCGAAGCTTGAAGATTTCAAACTCTATTTCATAAACACGTGGATGGAAAATGAGACCGTCTTCCCGCGCCGAATGTGGAACCACTACCACAATTTTGGAGCACGCTCAACAAACCATCTGGAAGGATGGCATACAGCTCTAAATAGAATAATCGAGAAGAGCCATGTCAATCTTTATGAGGTGATCAAACGTCTCCAAGGACAGGAGGAGAAATTCAGGCTGGACATGACGCGATCACGAATGCGATAACGCCCCCTCCACTGACCAAGCAATATCGAGTGCTGAACGATGGGCTTATAAGACTGGCGGCGGAATTCGAGTCGGAAGAGATATCTTTTATCGACTACATACATAAAGTTGCACAGAACCTCCCGCAATTGTAGGGAGACCTTTTTCAGGAGGAGTTTTTAGGAGGTAGTTGTACGAGGAAGGTTTTTCATTCGTCGGAACCTTCCGCAATTGTGAAGATAAGATTGAAGGAATGCCTAGTCGAAAAGGACATTGTAAACAGGAGGTATTCGTATCCTTCGGAACCTCTCGCGATTACGGAGATGAGCTTGGAGAGAGAAGTGAATTTCGAAGAAAAAGCTTTTTGTATTCCTTCGGAACGTGTGATCGGTATTTCCGCTAGAAGGAATTTGCGGCGTACTGGGATCCGGCTACCTCAACTTTCGGCGTACTGGGTTTCAGGTAGACGAATTTCGGCGCTCCAGGTTTCGGCTTTCTGGGTTTCGGCGTGGAAGTTTCGGCTTACTGGGTCTATACCCTCAAAATACCTGTGACATCTGAGGCTGATACCTGACGTCGGTGGCATAGGTAAATGGTCTGTTAGCTTCTAGAGTAGGAATTCTCAAAGATTAGATTACTCGATTAGAGAGATTCAGCTGGCTATGTTTCTCAGTCTGTAAGGTCACTAGAATGTTATATACAGGACTGCGATCACGTGAACGGGGGCTGTTGAAATCTGTCTTTCCCGTGCTCGTTGTCACTACGCTTAGCTAGACTCCTACGCAGTCTCGTTTCCCTTTCTCTTAATTCCGTTTACGTATATAGTACGCGCTCCGCTTCAATAAAGTTTACTGGGCATAGTCTGATGCTCTGGTGCTGTCACTCCTATCTTCCGTGTGTTGTGAATCCCCGAAAAGTGAATACATGTCAGTAATTTCCTCGTCTACGGAGCTCCTTTTTGTTTCCACAACGTCGCGAAACGAATTCACGAGTGGATCAGACGATATCATCGACATCGAGTAGAGATCGAAGATGTTTTCTCTTCTAGGAAAGCCGCGTACAATAACTTAGCAGGTCCGGCAGGCAGAAGATCTTTGACCTTGTCCCGTATTATCCTCTCCGCCAAGTTCAAGATTTTTTTTCTGGACGTCCCGCTCGAGGTGTCCCTTGAGACGCCTTTGTCACGGACGGAGCTGCCGTCGCTTCTTCAAGCTTGCACACGTTCACGACACACACATACACTACACAAAACAATCAGCACACATCAAGCACAGCGGAGATCGAGTCTAACCGTGGGGACCTTCCAGCATCTCAATCATTGTGTAATTATTTATCCATAATACCCGTCCAGGACGAGCAGTCCTGTTTAAACCAGAATAAATCCCCGAGGGGTGCGCCGCCACCTAGGTACGTCAACCGGCGCAGCACTGGCCTCTCCAGAGCTGAACGTCAGCTGCTCCGCATCAGCCGGTCGAGAGACGTTGAAAACACTGTGGTTGCCACAGTGGCGACAGCGGCGACAGCAGCGGACATGAGAGACAATCAATCATCATCGAGAATCGCGGTCACGAGGTAGCATCAGAGCTCCTCGTGAAGTTTGTCCAGGGGTTCAAAACCCCAGTGATCATTCAGTTTCTCTCAGCGAACGGAGGCTCATTCCTCCTTCGCTCTCCTTCAATCATCTCCAGGAGATTTCCCCGATCAATCCGGGGTCCTCCCGGTAATTCTATCTGCGCAGCGCACTCCACGTGAACTATACAAGTTCAAACCTTGTGTTATCATTTAGTCAGTGAAGTGTGTCCGCCACAAATTGGTGTCAGAAGTCATCAGGACCCGAGTGCCCAGAACATTCGGTCACCGAACCAACAGATTTCATCGAAGCGGGTGCTCCCTCACTGGAGCCCGCGTGTGAAATCATCTTCCAAGAAAATCATCTTCGGTGCGATAAATTCAAACTTCCGTCGATACGATCTTCTTCAATCCACCTCGAGCACCAGGTGCGTCGGCGAAAAGCAGAATTCGCACCACCACGAGAAGGAAAATTACACCTGTCGCGGCTCGATCGCACTCAAGCCTAACGAAGGGGTCAGGATCATCGACAGCAGAATTCCAGACCAGACTCAGGTATGAGCGGAGAATCCAGACCGGGCAGCCCGCATGATCAGGAGGGTGCTGCCCAGGGCAGATCGTCACCGGTTCTCCCGGAAATACTCCTGGAATCCTTCCGGACTTGACGGGTATCGGAGAATCCCAACTCGTTTTTCGACGACTCACCAGACAGCCACCTTGAGGACATGGCTCGAACCATCGTCAATCGCGGTATCGCGGGAAGCGAAAACACCGAAGCTCGTCGGTCAGACCGAGAGGACAGTCAGCTACTCAGACCACCATCTCTGATAACCTCCAGATCGACATCGCCGAGCCCAGGATCTTCAGCACTCAACATGGTGACTCAGACTCGAACTGCAGTCACCTCGGCTGAATCCTCACCTCAATCGGAAGTAGGTCGGGCTCGGAGTTCTTGGGCTGCGATGCGAGGGAAAACACCAGATCCAAATAGCGATCTCGAGCGACCAGGTCGCCCCGAATTTCCCTCCGAATCGGAAACCGGGCAGACCCCCAGAACCCCCTGAACGCCATCGCTCCACCGACAGAACAAACACAGCCCGCGAT